TTCGCGCGCCAAATTCAAAATTTTTCCCCCCCCTACAGAATCCTTATATCCGCCCCTGGGTAACATGATCACTTTTAATAGATATATGTCATATATGTCAATAATTATCACTAAATTGATGATTATAAATGATAATTCACTTTAAAATATTCACATAGAACTATACGACATCCCCCACTTTCGTTGCTGCTTTCTTTACTGAAGCTTTCTCCTCACTGAGTCACCCAATGGAAAAATGAAAATTAAAATGACGCAAGATTGAAAAACACAAAATCTGCGAGTATGGTGATCCTTTCACAGGAAACACCTGGTCGTAACTGACGAAGCGCAACGCTCTCGGCGCACACCGTAGTAGTGGCAGCAAGTCAGCGACTCCCGGTAAAATGCCGGTATTAAATCTTGGAGCGGCCGGTTACAATCAGCTGTTTGTCCGTACTAAGCTCTGTGTGTTCGATAGTCAATATGACCGTACGGTCGTGTGTTTGGCGGTGGTTCCGTCCCCGTGGATCAATTAATGAATGTTGTTGTTGTAACACTAATAAGCAGGCGCGCAACTAGACATTTGGTTAGGGGGGGGCTAGGTGGAAATATTTCGCGCGAAGCGCGAAAAATTTTGTTGGCCCCCCCCTTAACATTTTTAGTGGGGGGCAAGAAAAATGTGTGTTATACTTAAACAATAAAAAACTAACCTTTCCAACCTGATATTCAGTAAGTCAACACATCTGATATGAAATAAAACAAGAAATCTATTCTGGTCAGGGGCGGATACAGGGGGGGAGGCGGAGGAATTCGCCCCCCCCTGAATTTGGAATTTTTTGTTCCTATTTTCAGAATAGCTTCTATAATAGCATGGTTAATTGGGAAAGAAACCCTAGTGCAAAACAGGAAAAATATCTGTCTTGATAAACTATAATGTGTGAAAAGTTAAAAATCTAGTTTTTTAGTCTTTTGTCATTAATTTTCACTCTTTTTGAGTCTTTTAAGTCAAAAAAAATTTTCGCCTGTGCCGCGATTTTTGGTTCCTAATTATGAATTTTTTTTTTCCTAAAAAATCTTGCCCCCCCCCCCTCACTTAAATCCTTTATCCGCCCCTGATTCTGGTATAAATCACAAAAATAATTAATTTACAATACAAATTACATATATATTATATATGTATAAATTTTCATTAGTTATCCATAAATCAAATATGTACATTGTACTCAAAAACTGACAAGAAATGCCTTTCATTAAAAATTCATGATTTTACATGAAAAATATTTTTTTTAATATGACACATCACACAATATTTGCGGTGAACATGAAGGATTAATTGAATAGTTGTACTACAGTATTAAAGCAATATCATAATAAGTGGCAGAACTGATAGTGAAAATATCTAAAAAATACTTAATAAACCCCCTTTCCCTTTCCCAGGAAAAAAAAGCATAATGAAAAAAACAAAGATTAAGGCACATTGGAACCTTGTCAAACTGTTCTGATCTACGGCAGTAGTTAGGCTCGGAGACGAAGGGGGTCTGTATGTGTGTATATGGTGTATTAAGTGCTATATGGATTGAACTATAAGCTCAATAAACTAACGTTCAATTATCTTTTTTTATTTTACGATAAGAGCTCTTAAATTTCCTCAGGGTCAGGATTCATGAATCGCTAAATTGCAAAACAGGGTGGACTTCGTCACTTCTTGCCCCCCCCCTACAGGGGGGGGCAAGACTTCTTTAGGGAGGGGCATGCCCCCCCTTAATCAGGCTAGGGGGGGCCTGGCCCCCCTGGCCCCCCCCTAGTTGCGCGCCTGCTAATAAGTTGTTACTAAATCTTCCCACAATTCATTTTACAACCAAATATAGACGCGGTTTCTGGGCGCCGTCAAACTCATGTTTATAAAAGCTGGTGCAAATTTCTACAAAAAAACATTTGAAGAGAATATAAATATTGAATAATATACACGCCCAACATGTAGTCAAGAAAAAAGTGAATAAATGTAAAACCTAAAAAGGGTTGAGAACTCAATTGCTGAATGAGACTCGCTAGAGGGACTTTAAACTGCCCCCACCCCCCCGAAACCAGGGAGGGAACCCCCGGACGTCATGAGCCTCTGCTATGAAGACATCGAGCCTCCCAGCTAGGCAGACCGAGCCTCCACTATGCAGACAAAGCCTACGCTATGCAGACCGTGCCTCCGCTATGCAGTAAACGAGCCTCCACCATTCCCAACATACAGCACAGCTTTTTTATTTTTTTTTTTGACGTAGTGGCATAAGAATTTTACTAAAGATTAGAGTTCTTCATTGATTGTCATGATATGAAACATATATGGACTCATAAAGTGGTTTATAAGACCTATCAAAACTTTAAACATTTCTTACGCAGAAAGGAAGATATTTGGAAAAATATTTCTGGAGTAAACTTAGTTTGTTTTGTTGTAATCTTTGATTTAAACAAAACCTCTTTTTGAAAAATCTTCAGATTTAAATAACAAGTACAAATTTTTTAGATTTAATTTGAAGTTCAAAAAAAGGTATTGCTTAAATCAAAGATTATAAAAGATGAAATGAAATGAAATTCAAATTTTTTTTCTAAATATTTTCCTTTTCGTGTAAAAAATGTTAAAATGTTATATACCACTTTATTAGTCATAATTAGGCACTATTTATGATAATTCATAAATACTTCTCATCTCTGAGAAGCCTCTCATGCCACTATGTCTAAAAATTTCAAAAAAATCTTTTATATGCGTTGAGTACACATTTCGAAAAATGTATAGGCGCAGAATTTCTTCTGGAAACTTGGGGCTTAGGTTTCCCAACCATGATTGTTCCGAGAATCTACCAATCCAGCATCGACGACACAAAACCATAGTAATTCAATAATAAACTCAATTTCCCAGGATTTTTTAGATTACACAACTTTTGAATACCAGACATTAATACCTAAAATGGCCATCCTAGAGTTTCTCGAGAAAAAATTAACGAAAAAAATTAACAATTTCATCCTGGTGAATATTGGCTTTCCTTGTTAATGTTGTTTTTTCACAAAAATTCAAACTAGTAAAACTTAAAATAATTTTTAAAAAACTAAAACATATTAGAAACTTCACAACAAGTTGAATAATATGAACTTTAATCTTTTGTAAAGCTTTGAGAGGGCGGACTGGCCGTCTTTAAGAGTATATGGTATAAAGAAGCACCGGCTCCAATACCTTAATTTGTCAGTTGATAAATTTACAACTGAGAAAAAACTTAAAACACAAGTTTAAAGAAACCTCCTGTATTACACAGGCACATTTTGATGTGTTGCGCATGCTCATTTCTGCAAAGCGGAGGCTTGGTCTGCCTAGCAAATCTGGGAGGCTCGTGTCTGCATAGCGGAGGCTCATGGCGTCCGGGGGTTCTCTCCCTCCTGAATCTGCACCAATGCGTTTTATGAAAACTTGTCTATCTAACGTCTTCAGACAAAAGGAGCGCAAGAGAAACAGGGTTGGTTACCCACAAGGATAAGATCTGAAACAGGGTTGGTTACCCACAAGGATAAGATCTGAAACAGGGTTGGTTACCCACAAAGGATAAGATCTGAAACAGAGTTGGTTACCCACAAAGGATAAGATCTGAAACAGAGTTGGTTACCCACAAAGGATAAGATCTGAAACAGGGTTGGTTACCCACAAGGATAATTACCCACAAGGATAAGATCTGAAACAGGGTTGGTTACCCACAAAGGATAAGATCTGAAACAGGGTTGGTTACCCACAAGGATAAGATCTGAAACTCTTAAAATATAATAATTTCAGCACTCTCTCTGTATTGCAGTTTACAGTTGCAGGGAATCTTAAGGAAAATTCCGTACAGTCGTCACTGGATTCTCATCTTTTGTTGATAACTAGGTATTTCATATTTCCATGTCTGACTATATAATCATTTAATCAAACATTGAGAGTAAAAACTAGTAAAATACTATTATATATGGTTTAATCATTTCATTTAACAATTACATAAATCAATAAATTAAAAATAAATTAACAACCAAGATATTAAATCTATGTTTCCCAAGTCACATATTCTAGACGTGTTAAACGCCAACTTTTGTATCCGACACTCACACATGTCTGGCTGGTCATATATCAGTTTAAAGCCGATCGATATGTTCATTTCCGGTCGGCACACGGTCGGTAAGTTCATGGCCGGTCGGAACACGGTCAGTAGGTTCTAGACCGGTCAACACACGGTAAACTAATCTCAAATTTCTTGTGTTGCATAAGTACATTTTGGCACAGTACACACCAGTCTGATGTAGAGTGGTGTTTTCTCATATCAATTTCATAAGGTTACAAAAATACTGATTTTATAATGTTTTACTTTCATTGGATTGATAACTTATCATAAGTCTCGATATGCGAGTAAGTTTTGACGATATAAAAGTAAGTTCTCAAGCTCTTACTAATCAGGAATTCTGATTTTTAGGAATTATTTTTACAGAAAATACCATGTTTTGGAATACCTAGGTTACTGGATACTTTCATAGATCATTAACTTTGGCGGAATAAAGAGCAGCTTAATTTAATAAGTGATGTAAATTTTATAAGGTAACTGAAGTTTGTGATTTTCGGAAGCTCATTTTATCTTGAAAACTGCTTCGTGGTTCATTGATGCTGCTTTTTTTATACTGATGGTGTGAGTGATGCTACTTTTATGCTTTGCTACTTTGATAAACGCTACATAGCTGAAGAATTTACTTCCACTCGTCATCGCTACTGCTACTTTCACTTCCTTCTTCACTTGCACTTACCTAAAATACATTTTTATTTTTATGAAATTCAAAATAAGTTCGATAGCTAAACACATTTTTTATGAGTTGGTGATTATTAAAAAAAAAACTTGGCAAGTTAAAAAGTCTGATTGAACTCTATTTTAAAGACCGGAGTATAAAAAGTTCAGATTTAAAAATTATGAAAATTTCCTACCGGCATCTCATCATCTGTTTCCGTAAGAATAATATCTAAAAGGTTGAATTTGTCCGCGGCATCTATTGTTTTGGCTTTCCGCTTCTTCGTTTTACGTTTCCTCGTTACTTCTTCCTTTGCTGCTGGACGTTTTTTCGTTTCTTTGGCGGATTTTGTTGCCGGTTTTTTAACAGCTTTCGTGGATTTATTGGATTCTTCTTGCTTTGATTTTGCTTTTGACTTAGTTTCAGATTTCGAAACATTTGTCTTTTTCAGAGATTCCTCTTCGCTAGATTCTTCTTTAGTTTCCTTTCGGCTTGTTTTTCCTTTCATAACCTTTCCGCCTTTTTCCACCTTGTCTTTGCTTTCTTTTGACTGTTTTCCCTTTCCCTTGCGCTGTTCGTCCTTACTTTCCACTTTCTTTTTGAGTATTTTCTTTTTGGGTTCCTCTTCAGATTCTGATTCATCCTTCTTTCTCTTCGTTGCTTTCTCATTCTTGACAGCTTTCATCTCCTTCTTCTTCCTTCCTTCATCCGCAGTCTTTGCTTTCTCCATCTTCTTTGGTTTAGGAGTTGGTTTCTTCATCTTGGGCGCTTTCTCCTCCGGTTTAGATTCTATCTCAGGTTCAGAGTCCGATTCACTTTCGGTCAGTGGTTTACGAACCTTTGGCTGGGTCCGCTTCAGGGAAGGTCTAAATATTAAATAAAAATGTAAACATACATTTGAAGATAATTATAATTGGCAATTGGCTAAAATAAAAATGAGCCTTTATATATACAGGGTTAACCACAAAGCATGAGACTGTAACGAAACTCTTCAATTATGACTATTCCAAATTTTTCCTATGTAGGGAATCATTAATACAAGGAAACAGACATTATAAATTTTATGAAACTATTGTGTACTTTATCATTCTTACTCACTTAATCGTGAATTTCATAATGAACGTGCTATAAAGTTAAATTAGCTGTATATTCTAACACTGTGCTATAAAGTAATCATCGTGCTGTAATGTTAAATTAGCTCTACATTATAGCACGTTTTGATTTGTTCCCGGATTTTCTCCAAAAAATTTAGGATATTTCCAAAAAAAATTGTTTTAATTGAAATGAAAATAAAATTGAAATCAACTTTATATTTTGACTTCTGCTTTTTTCAAAGCTTATTTGATCTAGAAATAGCCATTGAAATAAGACAAGTAAACAAACGTTTCATTAAACTACCTAAAACACTGTTATTTGGTTCGCAGTGTTATAAGTTTTCGGACTTAAATTTTCTCTAACTAAAATAACAGTGTTACAAATAGTTAAGTCTCTGAAGTCTTTTTCTTTAGTTGGATTGATGAACCCTGTACAACCAAAGCTCTCCATCTTTGCCTGATAACTAAGTTTTCTCAATAAAAGTCAATCCACAGACCACTCAACTTTTAAACCAAACTAAGAACATTCCTGTGGTTTTGAAGCAAATCAGTCCAAGGGGTTCTTACGTCGGACATACAAACAGACAGACACACAGAAACTACTACTATCTATTTAATAAAACTTGAGACATTCGTATAAATGTTCCCTATAGACGGCCAAAACTACTAAAACGAATGGGAAATTTTTTTGAGGACACTCAGGGTAGCATGTGGGTGACATACGTTAAAAAAATCGATTTTAAAAAATTTCAAAATGTTTTTGTTTGTTTGTTTTTTCCCACGGGCAACGTCGGGCACTTAAGCTAGTATATAGATAAAGTAAATATCTATGCTTGATTGTTTTTTGGTTCGATCAAAGCTAATAAATCCCTTAACATTTGCCTCAATTTTTTTTGGAGGAATGCTATTTCAGCTTGATTAACAAGTAGTATACTAAATTAATTAACTTTTCGAGAGAAAATCTAATTTCCAGGCAACTCTGGGTTTCCAATTAATATAAATTATTATTTTAATGAAGCTTAATGTATATTGTTTCTAACGATGAAGGATATATTTATACCATTGATTTAGAGCGCATTTCAGACAAAAAAAAACTACTAAGGCAAAAACGATATTGCGATAAAATTTTAAATGATTAAAAATCAGTGTCCATCGCATGAAGAGAGATCTATTAAAGGCTAGAATATGCAATATTTGCAGGTTCCATATTGGGTACAACTGGACTAATAAACAGACGTCTGTATTCAGGGATATTTAAAAACTTTTTGAATACGAAATACGAGACCTTCAGAAGAAGCCAAATTCATAAATTTCATGTTTTATGTCAGAAGTATATTTCTTTAAAATAAGGGTATTATATGGAACAAGTGGCCGTTAGATGGCAGTCAAAAACCTTTTGTGGAAATGTAGCATGTCATGCCGGGACAACAGTAGTCTGTGTGAAACACAAATCCAAACTAAGATTACTAGATTACTCACCTAATAACTTCATCATCATCTTGGAACAGTGCTTCAATCACAGGTATATCCTCCTCATCCTGAATCAATCATTCAATCAAAAATATTTTATTTCAAAATCCGCATTTGCAAACATATGCGGATCCACGGATCCAATTCCATGTTGCAAAATGTAAATTTAAAAAAATCGTGAGGAAAACTTCATCTTAGATCATTGAATCCTTCTCAATCATTGAAAAGTAAATCAAGTTACAAAATGACAAGCAAAAATTTTTTTAATGATTTGTTTGTGAAAGAAATTTGGGATCGATATTTTTCCAGGAGGGATCAAAGATCCGGATCCAGGGATCAAGGATCCGGATCCGCATCAAAATTAAAAAAACTTCAAGACATTTATTAATTTTTTTTGTAATAAATCCAAAAATGTTTTTTAAATATCCACATTTTTTTACTTTTCTTTGATCGTGGTTTTATTCTTTGAATTTGGTCAATTGAATTTGTCACTTTAAAATGTCTTGAAGTGGTTCCAAAATCAAATCAAAATCTAAACGAGATATGCCACCATAATTCTTCAAGATCAAGGCTGTTCAGCCTAACATAGTTTAACTCTAACGTCGGACTCACGACAAATTTTAGGTCATCCAAATCGTATACCTGGAAGTCCGTATAGTCCTCTGGACCAATAACTCCTCCTCCACCTCCACCACCTCCTCCTCCATCGTGATCATTCCGTCCCTCACCACCATCCTCTTCATCCTCATCACTTTCAGAACTACAGAACAAATAATCAATATATATATGTTGTCTACAGCCGGCAAAACGGCAGGACCGATTGGGTTGAAATTTTTTTTGTGGACACTCATGGGTGGCCGGGGTGTGTTTTTTTAGAAAATTTATTTTTAAATTTTCTTTCGAATTGTTGTTTTCCACGGGCAACGACCGGCCCTTAAGCTCGTAATTAATAAATAGTGGAGATGAAATATTTTTTTTATATATAACATAAAATATTTAGACCAGTGACACCCCAACCTTCAGAACCGATGTGGACATATTATAAATGTCTAAATGTATTAACTGAACAGTGGTCTCCATCTTTTAATTCCAATTTGATTTAATTTTTTAACCTTCCACCAACTATATTTAAAAAAAAATAAAAAAAATAATTAAGTTTCAAATTGAGTATATTTATACGGATGTAAGTTAATTCAAAATTTAAAAACGGAATGCATTATTTGCAAATTGCCGCCCCCAAACTAAACAACATCTGGATACAGAACCTGATAATAGGTTTCTCCTTCTTGATATAGGATGGAAGAGCCCTCTCTCTTGGCCGGACCTCCCCCTCATCAACATGATCATCCTCCTCACCAACCTCAACATCCTCGGACTTCAGGGGCTCATCTTCAACGGGCTCCTGAAGTAATCAATCAATCAATTAACCAATCAATCAATTTCAACCAATCTTATCAATTCAAATAATCCAATTCCTATTTAAACAGGCGGGTGTCCCAATAAACATGGGAGTTAAGTGACGACTTTTAAATCGTCTTCGCTCCATGCGGTATTTTTGCATGAACACAATTTTTGCAGTACTTCAGTTTCAAAATCTAATATCAAAAACGCCACGTCTTGACTGATATTGTCAAAATGAGGTCTATTGCAAAATTTAAAATTTCAATTTATTTAATAAATCAAAATTTTTTAATATCTAATATCTTCGTCATTATTGAAGATACAAGATACAAGCCTTAAATATCAGAAATCGAAGAAAGACTTTCAAGTCGTCACTCAATTTCCATGTTTATTGGAACACCCTGTAGTACAAATTATGCTTTTTTGATTAATTGTTATTAATAAATCACGAAAACAATAATGTTTCGAGGGTGTTATCACTTCATAACTTTTCTCCACAGACGCGGCCAACAATGTAATATTGAAAGCACAAAAAAGACAGACTTCATTTTGGAAATGCCATGACTAGGGTTATTATGAAATAATAAACTCGAGACCTATACTTCTAAAATCAGGTTTACTATTAAATGCTGCAAACTAGTTCAAGGATCAAAGACGATCTTCAAGTAGCTTGATAGTGTCATGTTTCGTGGGACACCCTAATATCTCTATTAGCAATTCGCAGAAAAATTTCTTCCAATTCATGATTTTATCCTTTTTCCCCTTTTATAATTTTAAAACAACTTTCTACATTTAAAAATAAAACAAAAATAAACTTTAATTATTTTATAATTCCCTTAAAACATATATTAACTTCAAGGAAACCGAATAATTTTAGATATAAAATAGATATAATTGATATAAAATATTGCAAGTGCTAACAACTGCATCACTGAAATAATTTCGTAAAATATACAATAAATAAAAAGATGTCATTTTAAATCAATCAAATTGAAATATTTAAACGTATCTGGATTTTTACATGAATTCTTGTTTTTAAGTTTAGTTCGTATCTAAATCCAAATACATATTAAAAGAAAGTATTTTTTTATTAAATCACTTAATTTGAAAAAATAAAAATTACGTTCATTATAAAATCCCCCCCCCCCCCNCTGCTTCAACTAAACATAAACATACACTGCTTCAACTAAACATAAACATACACTGCTTCAACTAAACATAAACATACACTGCTTCAACTAAACATAAACCTACACTGATTAAACTAAGCATAAACACACGCTGGTTCAACTTAACATAAACATACACTGCTTCAACTAAATATAAACATACACTGCTTCAACTGAACATAAACATACACTGCTTCAACTAAACATACACTGCTTTAATTAAACAGAAACAAACAGTGCTTTAATTAAACATAAACATACACTGCTTCAACTAAACATACACGGCTTCAATTAAACAGAAACATACACTGCTTCACCTAAACATACACTGCTTCAATTAAACAGAAACAAACAGTGCTTTATTTAAACATAAACATACACTGCTTCCACTGAACATAACATAAACTTCTTTAAGTAAACATAAACATAACCATGTAATTTTCCAACTAAACTAAACTAAAAGGGACAGTACAAAAACTTGAAAAAATTAATTAATTAATCAATTAATTACGGTATTTATACAACAATAATAGCCTTACAACCTAAGAAACAGAAAAGCAAAATTTAGAATATGATATAGGGTTATCCACAAAAGATGAGGAGACTGTAAAGACGACCTGAAACTCACTAGATATGACGGTTCCAAGGTAGTTTACAAGGGAATTATAAATATAATGAAGCAGACAATGTAAATTACGTACAGTCGTCTCTGCAGTCTATTACTTTGTGGATAACCATGAATATACAAATCATAAGATTGAAAAAGTTTCTGTTTACCTTCTTCTTGTTCCCCTGGATATGCTGAATACCATGCAGCAGGCAGAAGGTTGATTCTTCTTCCTCATTTCCGATCTGGGAATTACAGATTAGACATTTGAGATAAATAAGAAACAAAAAATTAGAAATTAAGAGATAAAAAACTAGAGATTAGAGATAAGTGATTTAAGAGATGAAAGATAGGAGCTAAGAGATCAGGTATTAGAGATAAGATATTTGAAATTAGACACAAGAGTTTGGAGATTGGAGTTAAACTAGTTGGAATAGTGATTTATATAAAAGATAGAAAATGTATACCAGTGATAGATAAAGGTTTGCATTGCAGACTGCGCACTCATATTCATCATCCTCCTCCCCTTTCCTCTCTAGCTTTAAACGTTCAAACTTCTAAAAAAAATAACATATTCAAGATGTAAACCACTCTGTAACATATTATCTACAAAAATTGGATTTTTTTAGTGATGGGGTTTCTCCTTCTCTTCCCTTTTTCCTTTTGCTATTCACCCATCCTTCTTTTTTCCCTTTTTTTAAAAAATTACTTTGTGAACTGTGTAATGTATTCGTTATTTGTGAATTTTAAAAAATAAAATGTATCTATAAAACTTTGTAGGGCCAGCCAATCAAAACAACCAGAAATGGATAGGCTGTAGCCCTGGCTAATAATTATTTAGTAAAAAATTATAAAATGTAAAATGTATTTATTATAATGTTAGCCGAAATATATATCTATCTATATCTATATATCTAAGAAAATAAATATTGAAAATTATGCTTGTCGGCCTGAGTGTAAAATTTTGCTTGTCTGTCTGATTGTAAAATTGGGCTTATCTGTCTGAGTGTAAAATTGTGCTTGTCTGTCTGAGTGTAAAATTGTGCTGTCTGAGTGTAAAATTGTGCTTTCTGTCTCAGTGTAAAATTCTGCTTGTCTGTCTGAGTGTAAAATTGGTCTGATTTTATCTTCTTGACGTCTATAAAAGACGAAGCCGTTCGGCTGAGATCTTTTTGTAGGTCATCAAGTGACCCAAGAATGTTTAAAGTTGGTCAAAATTTAAAAAAAAAATGTTGGTATCCAATGATGAAATATTTTTAGTAGTACGTTATACGAAGAAAAATTAGTGGCATGAACAGCAATAATTGAAAGTTATAATCAAGACTGAAACAAGTGTCAGGATGCACCCAAAAAAGTTCCATAGCTTAACAAATAGTTAAGCTAGCAAATCTAACCTTAACTCCTAAACCAGCAATCTTCTCTCGGAGAGCTATTTCCCGACTAACAATCAAAGCAATCTGTGAAATAGGAAAATGATGAAATATAAAATATTTTAATAATTATGAAATATGAAAAAATTACAAATATAAATTTTTTTTTACATTTTTTGAATTGGCAATTATTGAATTTTAAAAACTATGCACATTGAAAATAATGAAAATAATAAAAATTGTAACCTAAGAAATTATTGATTTTCATTTTCATTCCTTTGAATTTAGAAACTATACCTTTGGTTTAATATTCAGTAATGTATTTTTTGTCGCTCCTTTGAATTTAGAAACTGCAAACAACATTTTCTCCAACGGGAACATCATTGGCTCCATTGAGTCTTTGATATCCTAAAAATAAAATTTGATTTAATCTCATTTTCAGAGGATTCATTTTTAGTTGATCGATAATAGAAAATTAATTCCAGGGTTGTAATCTAAATGAGAAAAGAAGGGAGGGAAAGTTCTGCCCTAAAATTTAGATAGTAGGCCATACTCATTCATTTAGACGTTATTTCGTCACATATGCACGAATGATGAAACTTTATATGAATCTGAGGTCATTGAACTCCATACTGACTTATATGTTGACGTTCATAAACCCCCAAAATGGGTTAAATATGGAGGTAATTGACCTCTTATCCAAATAACTTACCAAAAGCTGAATAAAAAAATGTTCCGCCTAAATGCCTTAATTATCAGGTCTAAACCTTTTTTTGAAGCTAGATAATAATTATAAAAAACACAGATGTATAATTCTGTAACACAGTACAGTACAATACAGTACAGTACAGTACAGTACAGTACAGTACAGTACAGAACAGTACAGTACAGTACAGTACAGTGCAGTACAGCAAGCAGTCCAACTAACCTGAAAGATGATGTCTGCCTCATCTAGCCAACTACTGGTAGCAAAGTAAACAGATTCAGAGACACAGTACCCTGTGCTAACACTGCTCGTATACGACCTAAATATATTTCAATTAGATCCGATAAATATAGTTTTCATCACGTTTTACTGACTACTTAAATCTAACAATTTTGAAGATAAAGAAATAAAAATAAATCTTTTTATAAAATTATTTTATTTCAATTTTTTCCAAATTTTTTCTAACTAACGAGTGTTCTGTTCAAAAATGTTATTTAAAGCATTTTTTAAGTCTCCTTACATATCTGGCATACACACTGAATCCTAATAAAGATCAAACCAGATATGACCCAAGCAACAACAGGTAAGTGGCTGGAGCTTGACGTAACATAGCCTACAGGATATTATTCTTTGACTGTAGGTTAATTGGTAATAATAATAATAATAATAATAATAACTATCCACTATGAGGTGTGAGCCTCCTACCTGGGGAAGATAACAATGAACTGACCGGGCTGCTGAACTGCCCTTGAGACTGAGACGCCGTGTTTGACGAGAAGAGACGGAGACACCATGGTTGTATCACTTGGTAACCAGATCTTACGGTTCTTACAGAAACTTGGAACCAACTTTAAAATAATAATATTATTAAAAACTCAATTATAATTCATTTTAAGTTAAATTTCAGCAATTAAAGCCTTCCTTAATAATTTTCGTTTTTAAATCACGGAAGCATGCAAAGCTGTTTAAAAATAAACCTATCGAACAACTTAATCACTAAGAGAAAGATATTGTTATTTTTCTATCTTAAAAAAGGAAATAAATTTTGTCAATTTTTTGTCCCTTACTAGGAAAACAAGAACATCTCCATCATATTAATTCTGAAGGAACTGGTGTGAATCAAGCATGTTTTTATATAGAGGGTCATTTGAATTCAGTAGACAGTCTCTTTAATCAAACAAAGGGTTGCTTAGTGCTTACCTGTTTCATTGCAGTATAGAAGGCCAAGGAATGATGATCAGGGATACCATACCAGATCTTAGCAGACCCTTAAAGAGATAAAATAGATAAAAATACTTTTTCGGACAAATTAAAACAATATCCCAAAATATTGCAAAAATTAAAACAATATCCCAAAATATTGCAAAAATCAAAACAATATCCCAAAATATTGCAAAAATCAAAACAATATCCCAAAATATTGCAAAAATTAAAACAATATCCCAAAATATTGCAAAAATTAAATCAATATCCCAAAATATTGCAAAAGTTAAAACAATATCCCAAAATATTGCAAAAATTAAAACAACATCCCAAAATATTGCAAAAATTCCATTCATAAGAATTTCATAAAGACTAAGCTAATCACATTTTTTTTACTCACCCTGTATATATATAAATAATAATAATAATAATAATAATAATTGCTGTCAAACCTTCAATCTAGGTTGTAGGCTTGAGCTCCCTCCGTTTAAATATATATGCATAAAACTGTATGTAAATATTCTATCCAGAGTCCGAATTTGATGAATTTGAGTCGCGTCTCAAATCCGCCAAAACCGGTTTCAATTGAGCGCCGCCGGCATAAATCTTGAAACATTGAATACATTTTAAGTGGAACAAACCATATTTGAGTCGCGTCTCAAAATTAAGCCGGGGCTCAAATTCTCTAAATTCGACCTCAGGGTAAACCATGTAAATCTCTAACCCAACAACGGCTGGTGAACAGCATACTATGTAAATATCTATATATACCTGTATGTAGGTATTCTATCCAAGGTAAACCATGTGGATCTCTGTACCAACAACTACTGGTAAACAGCATACTATATAAATATATATATATTTACCTGTATGTAGGTATTCTATCCAGGGTAAACCATCTGGATCTCTGTACCAACAACTGCTGGTAAACAGCATACTATATAAATATCTATATATACCTGTATGTAGGTATTCTATCCAGGGTAAACCATGTGGATCTCTGTACCAACAACTGCTGGTAAACAGCATACTATATAAATATCTATATATACCTGTATGTAGGTATTCTATCCAGGGTAAACCATGTGGATCTCTGTACCAACAACTGCTGGTAAACAGCATACTATATAAATATATATATATATACCTGTATGTAGGTATTCTATCCAGGGTAAACCATGTGGATCTCTGTACCAACAACTGCTGGTAAACAGCATACCAACATGAAGGGTTGGAACGGTTACTCCCATTACACTTCCCATTGCCTACACAGAGAATATTAGTTTAGTATATACATGGATAATGCATTGAATGCATTGCACACATTGGCCATAGACATTTTTGTATTCAATCAAACGAAGAAAATCTAATGAATTTCATCAATTGAATTTAGAAGTTCCGAATTTCTTGGAACCACTTCTTAGTAATCAAAGGGACTATATATGTATTTTTTACTGACACATCGTTTATAAAGTGTCATGTTAACCTTCGTCCGAGTAAAAATGAATGAGTTATCCTTGCTGTTCCATCTGATAACTGATTATTTGAGGTTCTCTGTAAATGAGTCTTGAAGACTGAGGGCTACGATAAATTGCTAATAGGTTACCATTATCGGGTATGTCATTCATTAATTTGGAGGTCCTATGAAATTACCACCCTTGACTATAGAAAAGAAGGCAAATAGAATCTTATTGTTTAAATATTTTTAAAAATTAGTACCTGGAGAACAGATCTTTGGTTCTTTGTTAGGTTCTTGAGGTTCCAGGGGTGGGTGGAGTACTGAGAGTTTCTAACAGGGAACCCATATCCCAGTATACCAGTATCAATACTACCCTGGCATACCTACACAATAAATATTTTCGATAATGATAATGAAAATGATAATAATACTAATGAAAATGATAATAATCGTGAAAACATTGAATATTGATTAAAATGTCTTCCTGTCCTGTCCTGTCCTGTCCTGTCCTGTCCTGTCCTGTCCTGTCCTGTCCTGTCCTGTCCTGTCCTGTCCTGTCCTGTCCTGTCCTGTCCTGTCCTGGTAAAAGACCTGCATATGAACGTCCTTGTCCGCCACAATCTTCCAGTATTCGTCCTCAGCCTCATGTGGAGCTGGGTCCTCTACATCCCTGGAAGACAAATAAATATTAGTCAATCAATCAATCAATCAACCACTTTATCATACAATTATTTAATTCATCTATCAGTCCTTTAATCAATTACTCACATATTAAGTCAATTATTTATTCATTTCGTTAATCTGTTATTTAACCACTTAAACACTTAATCAATGAAAATTCGCAATTGTTTTATAAATTCAAGGTTAGCGTAAGTTTTTTTTTTGCATATCAGTAATTTATACCAAACCTAGTGGCAATCAATCAGAGGAATAAACTAGAGCAACACAAAATATTTAAACCATGTACTTTCGTCCTTCATCTTCAGATAATTAACGAAAAGTTCCCGTACCCGTAAAATTTCCATTATACATTTAACCAACGCTATTTTTTCTTTTGGCTATGGATTCGGCAATTCGGAACGTTTGAAACCCCATGTTGGGACATGCAGAAATAATTCATATTCCCACCGCCGCAGACACTCTTCGTTTCTATTGGCGTCTTCTTGCTTTGTTCTGCCCGCAGCAGCACAGAATAAAAATGCGTCATGCCCCTTCCTTAGTAAAATTTCACATTGCATCAATTATGGATTTTCTAAAAAGTGAAATTGCGAATTTCTGCTACAGAAATGCTGGGGAAAAGTTCTAGCTAGAAAAAATGTTTAGCCAAATCTTAGCTGCTTTGTTTACCTAAAAACTGTTGAAAGCAGGTTTCTTGATAATCTATAAAATGCCGCTAAACTGGTGGATTTCCCCTTTACAACCGCCTCCATATCATCTTCCTCTTCTTCTTCGTCCTGGATATATTCTACCATTAGTCACGATCAAATAAAATGAAATCGAAACTTTTGTACAGGGATTGCTTGAAGCATCCTTCTTTCGGGTTAGAGATTCAATTCTATCCCAATTACGGCATCAAGTCGCTTTTAACCAACAAATTTATCTTCTAATTCATAGAACTCATTTTATTTCTGAAGCTTCTTGAACGACTTGGACAAAACCTGGCGATTTAGCGAACGATAGGTAATTTTAATTAGAAAGTCAAAATGTCAAGAAAAAAAGCGTCATAAGCCCTAAGACAATTTTAAAACATACTAATGGGTTAGATCTTGATATAGAATAAAAAATTATTGCGTTTAACCTCATTTAAACAAAATGTGTGATATTTATAATGTTTTAGCGATATTTTAGACTCTTTTAATCATTTCCACAGAAAATATTCTTCTTTTTTTCGCAAACGGTAAACATTCAAACGGGCGGGGGGGGGGAGGCCTTCCCACACCCTCACCCCACATTATTTAAAGTTTTGTTCAAACTTAAAATTATGTCACCCATGTTTATTTTCGGTTTTAGTTTTACCGCATATTCTTCTCTGTTCAATGTTCGATGGATCTACCGGGAAAATTATTTAGAAAAATATTAAAATATTGAGACGGGAAATAATTAGTGACCTAATCCGAATTCAATGAATTTAAGCCGTGTCTCAAATCCACCAAAAACCGGGTTCAATTGAGCGCCGGCTTAAATCTTAAAACATTGAATACAATTTTAAGCGGAACCAACCATATTAGAGCCGCGGCTTAAATTTAAGTCGAGGTTCAAATTCTTTAGATTCGGCCTCAGGATAAAAAATATCTGTACCTCATCCTCCTGGTTGTCTAGTTCTGTATTCTCCTCTTTCAACCTAGACTTCTCCGCCCTGTCTCTGCTCTGCTCGGCCCACTCCTCCTCAACTACAATATAAAGGGACTAAACACGAAATTCAACTAGTGATAACTTGTTAAATCGATATAGATATTTATAGGTATTAAGAATATATTTTCGTGAATCAACATCAACCTTAAGCCATTTTTTGCCTTTTTAGAGACTTTTTTCCAAAAATTAATTTTTATTCACAAAAGTTTTATTTCCTTAAAAAAAACTTCATTGAGAAAAATTATAATAAAAAATCAAAAAATAAAAACAAGGTTTTGCTATCAAGACAACTTGAAATTATTTTTAAATTTTGTTAATTAGCTTTGTAATTTACCTAATCTTAAGAGTTCTTCTCTTTCAACGTTTGACAAAGTATCGTACGGAAGCAGCCATTTTACATACATATCATCCAACTTGCTCCCCGAAGCATGGGTGCCGCGCGCCACGCGCAGATATTCCGCAATTTTACCCCATTTCTTCTTTTGGATAACCTCTGAGAGGCCGCCGAAGCTCTGGACGGCATGGTAGAGGGCGGGGAGGTCGACCTCAAGCCCACCAACCAGGGGGTGGGCTCGAGTGTCCACATTTTGAGTCTCCAGGTACTTTTTGATAGCAGCAGTTTCTTTAGAGTTAGGACCCCATCTAAACAAAGAAGATATAGAAAATGCACCAGTTTTAAGATTCTTAAAATTCGTGAATTATTTATTAAAAAGATACTGAATAGGTTGCCTCCATAACAAGAGCTGAACATTTTGAATAATTCGAGTTTAACACATTAAATTTGTAATGTATATATTAATCAAGCATAAGCTCTTGATGTTAGTGAAAGAAAGATCTTAAGTTGATGATCTTTAAACTTCATTAAACCTTAATTAAAACTACTAAATTCATAGGTTAGAACTTTTGGGTCTTAAATCTGTGACTTAAATGCTACGTTTCCTGTAATGGACTAAACCTTTTATATGATAAAAATTGCATATTTTTAATTGATTAAAATAAAAGTAATTAAATCATCAGTTGATTGATTGATTTTCAGACTAACCTACTGAACATTCGGTTAATATACTGATTATACGCCGTGAACCGTAAATCGTCCTCCACATTACACTCCGGCTTGAAGCTGGGCGGAGGGACGATTTTGCATATGCCGAACTGTTCAGCGTGTCGCCGAATCTTCTGAATGTAGCGGATGGGGTCCTGCGACAGAAGGCAATGTTTAAATAGAAAATTTAATACAGCGGCGATGATTGCAGAAAAAATATGATAAAAGGTGAGGTTTAAAGGGAAAATTCAATAAAAAGGCGATGTGTAAATAGGAAAATTCAATAAAAAGCGAGGCTTAAAGGGAAAATTCAATAAAAAGCGAGGTTTAAAGGGAAAATTTAATAAAATGGCGATGTTTAAACGGAAAATTTAATAAAAAGGCGACGTTTAAATGAGAAAATTTAATAAAAAGGTGAGATTTAAACGGAAAACTCGATAAAAAGCGAGATTTGAAGGGAAAATCTTATAAAAAGGCGATGTTTAAATGGGAAAATTTAATAAAAAGGCGACGTTTAAAAGGGAGAATTCAACAAAAACGCGATGGTTAAATGGGAGAACTCAACAGATACGCGATGGTTAAATGGGAACATTTTATAAAAAGGCGATGTTTAAATGGGAAAATTTAAAAAAGGCGATGTTTAAATGAAAATTTTTTTTTAAAAGCGATGTTTAATTTGGAAAATTTTGTAAAAAGGCGATATTTAAATGGGAAAATTAAACAAAAACGCGATGGTTCAAAGGACAATTACAAAAAACGAAGTAAAAAACAGGTTTGTTTTGGATGGACCAAATAATGTAAGAAATGAGGGTTCCCCATAATTTCTCATTCAAATAATACAAGATAAACCTGGTGGTGGGAGGGGGAGTGGGTGCTTATTATATTTGTAAACATTATTGCATCCCTGAAATTCGGCCTCGGTTGGCCGGAATGTTGGAGCTTCCATCATCTGCGCGTGTTGACCCAGACGAGGAAACCGGTTTCCAGTGTTTACATTTCCGATCAAACATATTGGACGCTTCTTCCCGCCAGTAGGAAAAGGCTCCTGCAGATTAAACCATAAAAAATTATATCCAAGATTTCTTTATAAAATATTATTAAAATGTTAAATATATATTAATAAGAGAATTTTTATATTTTTAATGTTTTCCTTGGATTGAACAGAAGGTGGTTGCAAGTCAATTCCGTCATCAGTTCGACGCATCCTAAATACAACATTCTATCAATTTCCGATTATACTGAACCCTACTTTTTCACTCGAGATGTTCGGTTTCTAAACTCGATAAAAATTTTTTTTTACTCCCAGTTTCAAAGAATATTTTTTAATGATATAATGTAAGAAATAGATTTAATTTTACTATTAGAACTAAATCTGCATATTCGGGATATATAACCAGTAAATACGGAATTTTAAAACAAGTGAACCCGGAATTAGAAAACAAGTTAATCCGGAATTTTAAACCAAGTAAATCCGGAATTTTAAAACAAGTAAATCTGAGAATAAAAAAAATCAAGCAATGGAGTAATATGTCACTGACATTGTTCTCATTTATATTGAATTATACTTTAAACAATAAATATTAAAAAAAAAACAGGCAACTTCAAGCATTATTAATTTCCATGAATAAAGTAACTCACCTAGGTCTAGGTTTATCCGATATAGGTGATATACTTGAATCCAAGGGATAACTAGGAGATATAGGACTAGCTACTGGCATCCGAAGTTTTCTAAAAAATTTCAAATTAAAAAAATTATATCGTTCTCTAAAATTAAACACATCAAGGTTTCTTATTTAATCTACAGAATGGCATGTCCGATCGAGAAAAAATGTTTTTTTTTCTTTTCAAATTGATTATTTTCAAATGTGGTTTCTCTTACCGTTTTAGAGTGAACTACGTATATATGTTACAGAAACAATGGAGGCAATTTTTAGAATCAAACATTTTTCCCAGCTAGAAAACTTCTACATAATTGATGAGGATCAAAGGGTAATGTTGTAAATCTGTCATGGTCATCTTTAGATGGAATGTTACTTAAGGTTAATCCTTTTAAGAAATGTTTGACAATCAGGGTTATAAGTTCATAAATTCATAACCCTTGAATTAAGGGTTAAACTATTTTATCGACAAATGTCAATCCTTTATCGTACAGTGGCAAATTAGAAGCAACATTTGTAAAAGAGAAAAATTGAAAAAGTCAAAACCCATTCAGAAAATGAAGATTTAAAAAAACAACGAATGTCGATTTTTCAATTTGTTTAAAACACGTTGAATGTTGATATGGGTTTAAAAAAATGCACCTTGAACTGCAAAATACCGTGCATCTAGTTCAACGTTTTTCATTTATGGATAAAAAAATAGTTTTTTTCGATACAAACTACTCAGGCAAACATCTTTCCAAAAAATCGTTTTTTTTGCTTATAATTTGCTTAATTTTTAAGGGATTTTTACGAATTTAACGTTTCTGAACTTAGTGCTTCAAGACGGATATTTTGATTATCATCTTAATTTGTTTTGAGGACACTTTTTTCTTGCTTACATTAGTGATTTGATTTACACAAAAAAGCAAAAATGTAAAAAATTGAACATTTAAACAAAATTCTCAATTTTTTTTGTATAAAATAAAGCTTTAGAACTGTTGCAAGGTGGATTTGAGCATTTTTATCAAAAGTGCCAAATAGATTCACCCATTTCCTGAATGAAATCCCCTCCCTCCCCCTCATAAAACTCACCTCGGAGTAATTGGTTCCTTAACCGGAGTACTACTCAACCTCTCCTCCGTCTCCAGCGGAGAATGATTACTCTTAGACTCCGTCGTTTTACTCCCGAGTATCTTCGCATTCATCGGTTTCTTCGAGGGGTTTGTCACCAGCTTAGCGGTCATTATCACCTTCTGATTAGGACCGCTAGGACCGTCTGTACCTAGCTTGACCGCCACACCAAAGGACTGACCCGAGGTTTGCAGCGGGATGAAATATGTTGTTTCGTTGTCACTTGAACTCCCGTCCTCATCCTGCCTCCGATCCTCCCGGTTACTGCTGGAGGTTCGGGAGTTGGAATTTCCAGGTTGGGGTTTGGAGGTCTCGGAGACAGGGGTATTCCAGCTTCTGTCAACACCTTTACCTATGAAATAAGACTAAAGCTGGCAAAACGAAATACGCAACAAAGCAAGTTTTTTTTTATCATGTACAAAATATTAATAACAAAGATAGAAAAATATCAAATCATTTTATTATTACCTGCAGCAAGGTTGACTTTTGATTTCTTGATCATCGACGGAGGTTTAAGCGGAGAAGAGGATTTTCTAAACGGAATCTGAGGAGTTGCCTCCGAACTCTCAAAGTCAAATGCGTACGGACTACTTTTATCGTCCTCAACATTGAAATGCGTAATAGGTTTGTGCGTCAGGGAAGTAGTTTTAGATTTTCCAAACTTTTCAGATTTTTTCTTAGTCATTGAGGAGTACTTCTCCGTGGAAGGTTTTGAGTCTTTTAAAATTGTTTCCGGCGGTTTAATATCACGGGTCGGAGATAAAGACTCTTCTTTAACCTGGATAATAGATTGTGTATTAATACTGCTACTGGAGACAGGGTTAGGTTGAGGTTTACTCTCTCCGGAAAAACTGGATCCCTCCTGACGGGATTTCTCCAGGTTTCTATACTGTGAACTGGAGGGGGTGAGAGGGGAGTGTTGGATGGGGGCAGGAGGGGGTGGAGCTGGTTGACTAGGGTAGTTGTATTGCACTGTAGAGGCGGGGTAGGTCGGTTGATAAGCTCCAGGGTATGCGGGGGACGCCAGGGGTGGAGCACTGGCATAGAGGGGCGGGGAGCCAATTGGATACCTATGCGGAGATGATTCCATTGGGTGATGGTTGGGAGATCCTAAATTGTGATTATGCGGAGAAAGCATGGGATTACTACCCGGCGAGCCCATGGGATTCCCGTGTGATGATCCCATTCGATTAGGGGATCCCAAAGGATTATGATGTGGTGATCCCATCGCAATTCCTTGTATATAATCCTGCGGGGAATGATAGGATCCGCTAGGACTAGGTTGATGATAAGGGCTCTGGTAGGTATGATGAGCTGCTCCCTGGTAGGGATCAACCTGGAGCGGAGCCGGATACGAGCCCGCCATATTGGGATAGGTATTCGCCTGAGTATATGCGGTGTGAACGGACGGAGTCCGAATAACTGCCTGAGCCGGCGTAGTTCGGTTGGAATGTGATGTTGTGCTTCGAGAAAAGGCGGAGTCTCCGCCCTGGCTTTGAAGGGGGCGCAGAGGTTGGGATTGAACTTCCGCCCCTTCCGCCGTGGGATTGGTTAACTGTTCCGACTTCCGAACCGGAGGTGTTAACAGCGGCGGTCCATTGTCTAACTTGGCGACGTGTTTGACCGCCGTGGAGGGTATTGATCTGGCGGATATCTGAGGGGAAAGGGTGGGTGGGCCTGGAGATAGCAGGGGCGGATTATTAGTTGCTATAATACTAGTGGAAGCGGTAAACACCGGTACGGCGGGTATACTCCCGGACCGGGACTGACTGACCGGTGCACCGGTAGATATCGGTTGATTCAAACTGACCGGCGTGACATTGTACTGAATGGTAGTTCCTGACGGCATTGTGATTGTCTGGGGTAGGGTAGCTACACCGTACTCCTGTACCGGAGCCTGACTCACGGACAGTGGGACCATGTTGGTGCTCAACTGGTTCATCCCTGACACGGAGACGTTGATGGTTTGGTTGATCCGTCCCTGGTTCTGCAGGGACATGGAGTTATTCAGGATGGGTTGGGAGTAAATATATCCAGGACGAACATAATTTGGCACCGTTACAATAGTCTGAGACATCTGAAAAAGTAGAATAATATAAAAATCTTAAAACTAGGAAATCTAAATTAATATCTTCCTTAAATACCTATTTTTATTTCAATGTCACACATTTAGCTTTTCATATTCCAATTCACATTCTTGATCCATATAGAATAGATTCATAAAACTAATAACCCCCAAAATACCCCTTTTTAATCTCTTTTTGACGCTCCTCAAAATCAAAAATTTATTTTCATGTTTTTAAAATTAGATAAAAAACTCCCAAACCTGCTGTTGTTGTTGTTGCTGAAGTTGGTTTTGCTGAACAAACTGAACTCCAGAAGATAATATTGGAATACCCTACATCAAAACAATAATATTGGAATACCCTACATCAAAACAATAATATTGGAATACCCTACATCAAAACAATAATATTGGAATACCCTACATCAAAACAATAATATTGGAATACCCTACATCAAAACAATAATATTGGAATACCCTACATCAAAACAATAATATTGGAATACCCTACATCAAAACAATAATATTGGAATACCCTACATCAAAACAATAATATTGGAATACCCTACATCAAAACAATAATATTGGAATACCCTACATCAAAACAATAATATTGGAATACCCTACATCAAAACAATAATATTGGAATACCCTACATCAAAACAATAATATTGGAATACCCTACATCAAAACAATAATATTGGAATACCCTACATCAAAACAATAATATTGGAATACCCTACATCAAAACAATAATATTGGNGGGGGGGGGGGGGAGTAATAATAAAAATGAATACCCCCTGCACCATCAAGTGACCTACCTGATAATCTATCTGACCAGTGGAAGGACGAACTCCGACCTGTACAGCCTGACGAACATTCTGCAGGTCAACCTAGACAATCAATCAATCAATCAACGACATTAGAATTCAATTAATCTGTCAACTATCTCAGAACTGAATCAATTTTTCAATATAATCAACAACTTCATCACAAATTAATAATTTAACTTTACAATAAATCAACTCAGCAATCAACTACTTCAGAAACAAATCAATACATTAACTAGATCAAGAAATCAACATATCAATCAACCTTTTCAGAAACTAATTAAGCAATCAAATACATATGAAATCAATTAATAAATCAAATACATATGAAATCAATTAATAAATCAAATACATATGAAATCAATTAACCAATCAAATACATATGAAATCAATTAATCAATCAACTTTATCAGAAATCAATTAATCAATAAACTACATTATAAATCAATTGATCAATCAACTTTATCAGAAATCAGTTAATCAATAAACTACGTTTGAAATCTAATAATCAATACAACACTTGAAATCAATTTGTAACAGGAACAGAATAAAATTTACTCACATTATAAAAAAAGCTGTTTAAAATCCGAAGGGCATAAAAAAACTTTCTAAAGAAAATCATCAGAAAAAAAAATACTTACACTTTGCATCCCAACCTGGAGAGGTATAGTGGAAACCTGCAGCGGCATTCTAAACATTTAACAATGAAAAAGATATCTTAACAATTATTTACAGCTAATATATTATAAGTAAAACCATAATTTCTGTACGCTAGAGCATAAGCACATTGCAAGGGTATATATTTTCTTGTAAAATCATCCCCCCTCCATTTTAATATATTTATCACCCTAAAGTTAGGTATGTTCAGATAGATTCTAGTACAATAGAATTTGAACACTCTCAGTACAGCTGTATTCTGACGTCACAAGTGTCAATTCAGTTTTTGTGTCCGACAAAATTATTAATAATAATGGGGGATTTAATAAATTTTCGGGTTAATTAAAAGAATATAAAAAAAGGTTAAATCTCGACTTTTGATTTTTCTTTAAAATCTACGCCCCTGAACATAAGTAACGCCAGGATTTCTTTATTTTCTTACCAGGGTGGTTTCTGATTCGTTAAACAGAAAAATAATTGTCCAATGATAAACTCATATTTGAATTTTTGAATTATAGATTTTGGAATTTTAAACTTAACAAAAATATTTTATATGTTTAGTGTGCTTATTATGTAGAAATAAATACTGGAGGGAAATGATTTAAAAAGATGAAAGGAAAAAATAATTTTTCAATAAAATAACTCGAAAAAAAATGTTATTTTGAAAGGTTGAAACGTCTTGTTATCTAACCTTATTTGGTTTTGTTGTCCTCCAGGAACAATGATAGTCTGAGACATGATTGGATCAGGAATATTCAATGGAACGCTTTGAATGGACCCTGGAACGGAGAGAGGAACAGATCCAGGAATGTTTAAAGTTTGCATGCTCACAGGAACAATTGATTTGTCCGAACCTTAAAAAAAGCATTTTGGAACCTCCAGAAAACTAAAAATGTAGAAAAATAAATATGATACCTATGATTGTGACCGGAGAAGACATATTAGAGGAAGCGACAATTGTTGATTTCGACATAACTACAGAACCCATCGACATTCTACTCGACAACCCTGCGGCGCCCATTACCCCGACCGGCAAATGATTCGTCCGATTGGCCGGTGACTCTGTCGATCGATCTGTATCTTCTGTTTTCGGCAGGATTTTCCTCGGCGGTGTACTAGTTCGACCATCCGAGGATTTCGACAATCGGCGGCCGTTTGGACCGGAGAGGGAGCTGCGACGCGCCGGACTGGAGGGTTCGAAGGATGATTCGTCGGCCATGTTGTCGATGGAGACCCTCGGCTTGACGTTGATGTATCCGGTCTTGTGGGAGATGGTTATTCTCTCCTCTGACTCCGGAGTATCCGAGTCAGCAGGAGATCCTCCGCTAACCTACAATTATCATTATCATGAAATGGGGGCGCTCCTTGCCACCGAAACGTACCCATGAACAACGCACCCTGCGAAGCCCTTGAGAAACGATCTGCACAAGACAGTTCCATTTCTGGAAACTCTCAAATATCCAGGCGGTTTTACTTTTTAAATTGATTTTTAAGAAAAGTGATTGATAAAAACAAGGCAAAAAATCAAATAATGTACATTTCATGAAATAATTAAACATTGATCAAATAATTAATAAAAGTTTCCATCACGTAAATATGTATTTTGTTGAAAAATAATGTCCTTCCCTTCTCCTATTTCAAAACTTTTTTATTTTTATTTCTACTTTAGCAGAAAAAAATGGTTCAAAATTTGCTGAATTTAAGAATATAAATGATTTTATACTTTTTTAATATTACAAACTCTTTATACCATAGCGACAGCACTAAGAAGTGGATTGCTATCTGCAATATTCCTCTTAGCTTCCTCTAGGAGAATATTCTGTAAATCCTTTAAACTTGTTTTGTTCTTCTTCTTCTCCTTCTTCTCCTTCTTTACTTCACGCTTCCTCTCTCCTTTAGGACTTTTACTACTGCTGTCATTCGACTTCTCCTCCTCAACCTTAAATAAAGAAAAATGGATTAGATTAGAAAACTTCTTTTTATTTGTTTAAAGAAGACATTTCGAAAAATGCTTCAACTCAGAATTGCTTCTGGAAAATTGGCAGCTTAAGCTTTCCTCCCCTCGAGTATCCTTGAAATTATCTCTGGATTTTACAGTACACCGAAACATCTCACATCATCCCACAGAACTCATCAGCATTTAACTTTTTTTACAAGAAGTAATAGAAAAATCTAAAAAGAACAAGACATGGAACCCCCAGACATGAACCCCCCCGACATGAACCCCCCCGACATGGAACCCCCCAGACAACCTTCAGATCGCAGCGCATTAACATGCAGCACACACATTGACACAATACACATTATAAAACTATGTTTACTTTTTGTAAATGTTCATTTGTTCTTCTTTTCTTTTTCATGTTCTTTAAATCTTAGTTCCCAATACCAATCCTATTAGACATATTTGGGAAAGAACTTTTAAAGGCTTTGAAAAAAAATACTTGCTTTTTATTGCAAAGATATATAAAAAGCTCATTTTATTAAAAATTCATTTTTAGTAATTTCAAATTTCCCCCATTGTTATTTAGAAAGAGGTTTAAAGATCATTACGATCATTACATTATTATTATTATAATTATTATAATTAAAGGTACCCTGGTGTACCGACAGTCTCTTTCAATATAAACGTTTTATTACCGGCGACGGTGTTTCGACAATCTCCTCTTCTTCCTTCTTCTTCTTCTCTTCTTCCTCTTTAGTTTTCTCCTTCCTCTCCTCCTCCTCCCTCCTCGCCTCCTTCTTCTTGTTCTCATCAATCCACTCCTCCTCCCTCCTCTGTCTACTGGGGGGCTCCACCCCCTCGTCGTCCTTCCGCCTACTCGCTAGCTTCTGCCCCAGCAGGTTCAGATAGTTCTAAATATGGTACAGGAGCGTAAATTTTCTTCAAAAATCATTCCCCCCGTTTATGAAAAATCATCATTTTACCGAGATTCTCTGAATTGGGAAAAATTAATAAATTTTTGGGTAAAAAGTATGAAAAAGGATCGAAAAAACACGTCTCTTGAGTCTTGATGCAATCTTTATTATGTTTATACGGATCTTCATACCCCCCCC